GGCCACACTTGTGTGGCCGCGCCTTGCCTCTTCAGAACAAATGTAGGAAGGCCCCAGTCCTGCAAAGTCCTACTGGTCACAGGGCCTGGCTCCTGCACGTACTCCTGACACGGTGGCTCGGGGCCCCGCACTGTCCGAAACGGCAGCATGGGGCTTGCGTCTGCCAGGCAGACTCCGTGGGCAGCTTGCCACACCTTCCCCCTGCGGACTGCCGCAGCACCCCTGTGGGTGACACATCCCACTCCTGCTGCTCCGGGTACCAGAGCTGTTAGCTACACCCCTGTATGGTAGAATGTCCCCATTTTCACTGGATAAATTTTGGAAGGTATGGAGTTATCCGTCTCCCGAGCCATCAAAAGGCAACCCTATATAGGGAAGTTTAATGTTTTATTATGTTTTTATATATGTTGGAAGTTGCCCAGAGTGGCTGGGACAACCCAATAAGCTGTGTAAGGTATAAATAGTAGAATTATCATTATGGAAGAGGAAGACCAAGCAAGTAGTAGCTCCTTAGTGTGGAGAAGACAGAGAAATGTTGCTGGGCGACAGAGGAAACTGCTCAACACCTACTTTGCCTCTGTCTTCCAGACCCTCCAAGTGTCCCTATTTTCCAGGGACGACCCTGATTTAGAGAAGCCGTCCCGGTTTCTGATTTGATCCTGGAATGTCCCGCTTTTCCTTAGGATGTCCCTATTTTCATTGGAGAAATGTTGGAGGGGATGTAGTTATCTGACCCCCGAGCTGTTTGAAGGCAATCCTGTACAGGGAAGTTTTCCAAAGAAATGTTCAATGTTTTATTATGGGACGTCCCTATTCTCATAGGAGAAATGATGGAGGGTATGCACACTGCAACTCATGACATTGCAGTGCGGTGTGTGTGTGCTGGGCACCCACAATGGGGGTCCTAATGTATCTATTCCTCTTTTAAACCTCTCTGTGCTAGTAGCCTGCTTATGTCAGGAATTGTGCTTGCAGATTAAAGACCTTTCCGTGAAGTTTATTAAGAATTGCTTAGGATGCATTTGCAGGTGGTGAAATTTGGTGGACGCCTCCTCCTTCAGAAAATGAAAACTTTGAGACAGTTCCTCAAAAATATCTGAGAAATTAGAGTTCACCTCGAGGTGGAACCACAAATTACAGTCATTGAATGTATTTGGTGTCTGAAATCTGCAGACACACCTCTCTTTTGCCACGAGAGGGCAGCATGCTTATGCTCCATTTCATCTGTAAAGAGTGGCAGAGCTTTAATGTTACCTCTAAACTTCAAAACTAAACATCAAGGGGGTTGCATGTTTGCTGTTCAAAGATCTGCCTTGCTCATTCATATATAAAATGTGTGTGTGTGTGTGTGCACGGTGCTCTAATTTTTAAAAATAAAGGTAGATCTTTAGGGATAAAAAAAATGGATGTACCGTGCTATATTAGAAGCTAAAAAACTTGTTTTGATGAATTGGAAGAGCCACAAAAAGATTCCATTGAGCACATTGGTTGATAATATGAACAGATTAGCTACATACAAACTAATTGCATGTCAACGCAAAATAAGAATGGATAAATATGAAGAAATCTGGAACGAATATTAAAGCAATAAGGCGAATAGTGATGGGAAGTAGAGGGAGGAAAGAGAGAGATGGGAAAATATTGTTAAAAAAGGTGTAGTAATAGGCATATCAGTGTATTCAAATCTGAATTGTCAAATTGTGTTATTATTGTTATTATGGTTTTTGTTGTATGTGTCTTTTGCGGTTGATGTTTGTATCGAAAAAACGATTAAACATTGTTTTTTTTTAAAAAAGGTAAATCTGTTTGTGGGGAGCTTAATGCTCACATGTGACTCCTCAAGCGTTTTCTCTCTCTCCAAATATCATCCCCCGAAGGAATTGCTGCTCTGGTGTTTCTAAAGGCCAGGGAAATGAACTTGATTTCCAGAAGCAGGAGAGAGGAATTTCTTCTCAAATACACATTGTGGGTGGGTGAGAGAGAGAGAGAGAGCGAGAGAGAGAGAGAGAGAGAGTCATCAGAGCCAGAGTAAAGGCTGGAATTTGAGGTATCCTTTGTGTGCATTTCCTGCCAACCTAGCAGTTCGAAAGCACGCCAGTGCAAGTAGATAAATAGGTACCGCTCCGGCGGAAAGGTAAACGGTGTTTCCATGCGCTGCTCTGGTTTGCCAGAAGCGGCTTCGTCATGCTGACCACATGAACCGGAAGCTGTACGCCGGCTCCCTCGGCCAATAAAGCGAGATGAGTGCCGCAACCCCAGAGTCGGTCATGACTGGACCTAATGGTCAGGGGTCCCTTTACTTTACCTTGTGTACATTATGAGCCCCCTTTTGCTCAAAAACTCCTCTCCTCTTCAGGCCCATCTGACCCATAGAGGCTAGTGGTGTGGGGAGCCACGGTACCAAGTTCTGGAGGGTGCCAGGTGAGAGTCCGGGGAACACTGAATGAGCACGCTGAGTGAGTGAGGGTGCGTGCCCCGCTCCTGACGAGCGTCGGCTCGGTTTTTTTCCCTTTTAGCCTGCAGGCGCTGAATTCTGCAGGGCGCCAGAAGGCTAAAAGGGAAAAAACCAAGCCAATGCACACGCCCTGGCTCACTCGGCGCAGGCCTGCTTGCTCGGTGTGCTGCCTGCCGTGGCCACCGTGGCATGAAGCGGCCAGCTGAGCTGGGAGTCACGGCGTCCAGCCTCCGCATCTTCTCCGCCGGAGGAGCCGCCCTCCAGCCGCTGCCCGCCTCCTCCAGCCCTAAAAACAGATCAAAAACTATGGGAAAGGGGGGGCAGAGGGATCTTTGCACCATGGCGCCGGATATGCTTAAGACAGCCCTGCTCCTCTTAAGATATTGTGCTATAGCAGCATAGCCTTCCACATATCTGCAGGGCTATTGTAAGAGCTCTAAATCTGCTGTGGTGATTGTATTGCAGGCTGTGGTAGAACAGCCTAAGCGACAAAGAAAATTGTGACAACTGTGAAGACTAGCAAATATGTTACTTGTGGACCAGAGTCTACTTCATCAGATACAATCAGAGCTTCAGGAATCACATGATGAGCTTACACGTTACAAAGCTTTTGAAGGAGACTGACATAAATTTCACCCAGATGGTGAAACTACAAATTTCATTGGCTGAAAGTAGTTGGTGCCTGGAACTTGTAGACAAATCTAGCCACCAGAGGGCATGGTCATGCAGTTCTAATAGCAACGGGCAAGCTTCACATATAGAACAAGAGGTGAGTAGGGAAAGTGTCTAATTCTTACCATCGTTTTGGGTAAAAGGAGATGAATCCTATCCCACCTCACCTCCCTGTGCTCCGTTGCCTCAAGTGCTTTTATCCCAACTTCCAGTTACCATCCCTGTAAAATACTCTTTTGAATTACAGTGGTACCTCGGGTTACATACGCTTCAGGTTACAGAAGAAGAAGAAGAAGAGTTTGGATTTGATATCCCGCCTTTCACTCCCTTTAAGGAGTCTCAAAGCGGCTAACATTCTCCTTTCCCTTCCTCCCCCACAACAAACACTCTGTGAGGTGAGTGGGGCTAAGAGACTTCAAAGAAGTGTGACTGGCCCAAGGTCACCCAGCAGCTGCATGTGGAGGAGCGGAGACGCGAACCTGGTTCCCCAGATTAGGAGTCTACCGCTCTTAACCACTACACCACACTGGCTCCGCTAACCCAGAAAAAGAACAGACCACCGGAACAAATTAAATACTTAACTTGAAGTACCACTGTATTTTCATTTGACACCAAAAAATTGCCCAGCTTCGGAATGAGGAATATGAGTTGGGTTTGTGCAAAGGAGTCCACATAAAAGTCCTTGCTTCTGCATTTTATGGACCTTTGACTACAGGCAGCCTGTTTTTATGAGGCTGGTGTTTGTTAGGGCTGCCATATGTCCAAACATTACAGTGGTACCTCGGGTTACAGACACTTCAGATTACAGACATTTCAGGTTACAGACTCCACTAACCCAGAAATAGTACCTCGGGTTAAGAACTTTGCTTCAGAATGAGAACAGAAATCGTGCGGTGGCGGTGCGGCGGCAGTGGGAGGCCCCATTAGCTAAAGTGGTACCTCAGGTTAAGAACAGTTTCAGGTTAAGAACGGACCTCCAGAACGAATTAAGTTCTTAACCTGAAGTACCACTGTACTGGGATTGACGTCTGGGTGGAATTTCCAAAAGGTGGTGCTTTGCCCTGGATCTTAGGCAAGTCAATCAAAAGCTCAACAACTTTCGGGGCATCCTGGTTTTTACTTTTTGAAATATGGCAACCCTAGTGTTTTAGTGTTTGTTTTAGTGAGTTTTCCTTCCTCTATTTCTCTACACCTGTGCCTTTAGCAGCAACCCTCTGCCCTGGCTTCTGCAGCCACTTGCTGCTTTCTCTTCTGCCTCTTTCCTCTTCCCCTTTCTTTTTTCTCCTTCTGCAACTCTTGCCCACTCTCTCTGACTTTCCTCCAGATTCCTCCACTGAGGCACCCAGAGAAGGCTACACACCTCGCCTGGCCACCCAGAGCAGAGGAGAGGCCTGGGGGACAAGCAGACAGGTGGGTGGATTCCTAATCCCTTTGAGCCAGAGTGGAGAGACACAATTTTTGCACCCTCGAGGGGCCAACCCCTAGATACACCCTGCTCTTGATTCACAGGTGTCAAGCAGCCTATTCTCAGATCCCTTCTTCTGCGGCCGTTTGTTGCTTTTGGAACCCAATAAGAGGAACCGAACTGTGACAGCTCAGCTGGTCTCTTCCCCTCTTAGCACCTCACCCTAACGGGAGACGCAACTGAGTGAGGTTTCCAGGGGTTGCTGTTTGAGCTGCAAGACAGGACCACTGAGCACAGTAGGCTTTCTGACCTCCCTTCACAAAAGAAAACGCTCAAGGTGGGTCTCTCGCCTATCTCCTTGGCAGGTCACCTGTCCAAGGGCATCACAGCTGGAAAGAGATGCAAGGGGGAAAGAGCTTGAAGCTTCCAAACGTTTCCAGGAAGACTGGAAGTTTGGTCTCCTCTATAATGACAGCGACAATCCTGATCCTCTCCCTGCTCTGCAAAGGTAAGCATGACAAGATGGGTGTGTTCTTGGTCAGAAAGGAGATGGGCTCTGGAACAGGGGTAGGATGGTACTCTGATTGAAGAACCGGGTTTGCTGGATTTGAGGGGCGGGTGCTCCTTGATTCAGCCTTGCATCTAGATTCCCAGGAGGTGATGGTGGTCAGGAATGCCTTTGCCCAGCTTAGTAGAGATGCTTGGTAGGGACGCAGGAGAGGGCCTTCTTGGTGGCTGCCCCCAGACTTTGGAACTCCCTCCCTAGAGAAAATAGACTGGCTCCCTCCTCCTCGTCCTTCCACTAGCCGGTGAGGAACAGACTTTGGGAACTGACTGTTTTAAATGAAAGGACTGGTGCTGTGCTATTTTTATTTTGTACGTATATATTTTGTTTGTATATATAGAGAGAGACAGACAGACAGACAGTGGTTTTTTTTAAAAAAAATTTATTAATGTTTAATTGTTGTTTAATTATTGGGATTTCCCCCTGTACTTCCAACTGTTCATATTTTATCTGTAAGCCACCTTGAGTCCCTGTCAGGGGAAAAAGTGGAGTATCAATAAATATATAATAATAAAAACAAGCTGGTGTGTCAGCTGTGCCCATTCCTGCGTAGGCTAGGCTACAGCAGTAATTCTAAACATCAAATAGTTGTTTATTTCCTTGACATCTAATGGGAGGGTGTTCCACAAGGCAGGCACCACTACCGAGAAGGCCCTTTGCCTGGTTCCCTGTAACCTAACATCTCACAGTGAGGGAACCGCCAGAAGGCCCTCGGAGCTGGACCTCAGTGTCTGGGCTGAATGATGGGGGTGGAAATGTTCCTTCAGGTATACGGGTCCGAGGCTGTTTAGGGCTTCAAAGGTCAGCACCAACACTTTGAATTGTGCTTGGAAATGTACTGGGAGCTAATGTAGGTCTTTCAAGACAGTAAGTCTTCCCCTCAGTTCATCCTTGTCATGCTCCAAAACTGCTGCCCCTACATTCCCTGTCCCTTTATTGGCTCTACTGATGTTCATTGGGCCAATAAGGAGCTATGGAGATTACTAGGACAACTGAAAAAGGATGCATGTGTCTGACATCAGGTTCCCCTTGCCAATATCGGCTCTCTCTCTGACCTGGCAGATGGAGCTCTGATGCATCCCATGACCCCCTCAGATGCCTCCCCAAGGACCATAGGACTGTACCCTCATGTACAGAATGGGGGTGGATGGCAAACTGGAAATATCAGATAATTTTAACCCGTTAATTTCTCACCCTTTTACTTCCTCCGGCAGGTATGGTGAGTCAGCTAAGCCCTAGCTTTACATTGACAATGCCTGCCTCTGTCTATGTGCAGAGAGGCCTCTATGTTCACCCTCCCTGCCAGTTCACCTACAACAATCAGCACCAGAACAGTTCAGAGAAGCTATTTGGTTACTGGTTTAAGAATGCGGAGACAAGACACTATCTTCCCTCTTCCAAACGCTATGTCAAAGGTGATCTTGTGGCCACCAACGATGAGAGCCGGAGAATCGACCCCTCCATCACGAACCGTTTCCAGTTAGAAGGGAACCCAGAGCAAGGTGACTGCTCCTTCAGCATCAGTGATGTCCAGTTAGAAGATGAGGGGCAATACTTCTTTAGAATTGAGAAAGGACACGTCCTCTATAGCTATGCTTCATTTCAGCTTCTTGTGACAGGTAAGTGGGTGTTCCATTCCTCCTCTGCTTACTGCTCCTTGTTGTTCGGGGGATGGTGTAGGGTGCTCAAGCCCTAAGCCTTTTGCAGTGGACCTGGTACCTCTTGCTCCCTTAATAATTCAAATTATTTTGCTTATTGGTTGGATAGATGCAGTGCAAAACATGATGCTGATGCAAGTCCAGCCAGGCACCATCTTGATTTCCCAGAGCCAGCTGGGAATTTGTACATGCAGTTTTTATTCAAGTTTGTGTCATATACCTGTGCCCTGCATCCCATAGGTTTCTCACAATGCCCTTGGTTCCTTGACTAGTTTGTTTTTATTTGATGCTTTGTGGTTAGAGAAAAGTATTCTTGTATATAACTATGTCAGGTACAGCCTCACCACTCCCTGGATCCAGAAAGGAGAGAGAAAAATGCAAATTGGTTTGTTTGCATAAGATGCTTACTTGATTTACAGTGGTAACTTGGGTTAAGAACTTAATTCTTTCTGGAGGTCTGTTCTTAACCTGAAACTGTTCTTAACCTGAAGCACCACTTTAGCTAATGGGGCCTCCTGCTGCCGCTGCTCTGCCGCTGCACAATTTCTGTTCTCATCCTGAAGCAAAGTTCTTAACCCAAGATAATATTTCTGGGTAAGCGGAGTCTTTAACCTGAAGCGTATGTAACCTGAAGCGTATGTAACCCGAGGTACCACTGTATTTTGGTTCATAGAATTGTAGGGCTGGAATTATCATTATTATGTCATGATTATGCAGAGCTCTCCATAGAGTAGAAGGGGACAGGTCTCTGCCCCTAAGTGCTTGCAATCTGTAACTCCATGGAAGAAGAAGGACAGCATAATGAAGTCCAGGTATCAACAGGGGAAGAAAGAATATGCATTATTTCAGTTACAGGAAGAGTAAGATGTGAGGACTAGGGGATGGGCCAAGGACTTCAGAGAAAATGTGGGTCTCGAGGAAGCTCCCAGAGTAAGTCAAGAGAAAGAGGCACCACATATTTGTTCTGGGAGGCAATTATTTTCATAAGGGACAATAAAGTGGGGAACCTGGAATCGCTGGAAAGAGGAGGGAGCTGCTTGGAAATCCCATCCAAAACCTCCTGGTCAACTGAGCCCAAAACATAGAACAGCTCTCCGTGGAGTCATCAGCACAGCATGGAAGCTGGACTTGCAGATCATCATAACATTCTGCTTAGCTGACATGAGCAAAGCTTTCACCTGCAAAATCAGGCATCCTGCATTGCAGGCAAAAACACTTGCTATTTGCAAGTGGACTGTTATGTACTGAGTTGAATAGGATCCAAAATGCAGCAGTCTGACTGGTCCTAGAACAATAGGATCCAAAATGAAGCAGTCTGACTGGTCCTAGAACAATAGGATCCAAAATGAAGCAGTCTGATTGGTCCACAGGAGCCACCCAATCCAACTCCAGGTGGAAGTGAATCCGCAACCTCATTGGCCTACAGGAGAATCCCAGAATTAGCCAATCACGTGGGGCCCATTGTGTAAATAATGTATATAAAACAGACATTTTGGGGGAACTTCCATTCCTCACTAATATGAGCTGAATAAAGAGCATGAAATCCACACTCGACTCCGAGTATATTTCATGGACTAAACAGGACAAAAGGGTCTAACAACCTATATTCCTAACACTATACTGCTGCTTGACTTTTGTGTGTTTAAACTCTGCTCTTGGGGGGCTCTCTCCCTCTGGAGTGTGCAAAACCCCATGTTTCGAATCAAGGCACCCAGCCAATTCTTTCATTATTTGCCCCACACACGTCAGTCACAGGGATTCATTTCTTTCTTTCCACATAAGAACACTCTGCTGTTTCACATCCTATTCAAACACTATGAAGTTGGGGGGTGGGGGTGGGGGGAGGAAGGGAGTTTGGTGATTCTACAGAGGTCCCTGAGAAGTTCACCACAGTAAACCCTCTGTAACAAAAAAAGAAAATCCTCATAAAAATTAATCAGCACCCTAGTGTTAATTTCTCCTAATAAACATATTTTTGTGTGTAATATTGACTAGTACAGTGGGTTTTTTAAAAAAATATATCTGTATTACTTTTCTGTAATATATACATTTTTCTATACATTAGTTGGCTGGAAAGCTTCATCTCGAGGATTGGAGAAGAGTGAATTTTGAAGGGCAACTCTGTTTCGGTTTGTGGGTTGGTTCAGAAAGTGTGAATTAGGTAGCTTCTCGTTAAAATACCAACAAAACCAATCCCCTCCCCAGCCCTTCTTCCAACAGGCTCTTCAAGGCATCATCTCCTTAAAATAATCCCAGCAGCATCTTATTTACAGGACTGCCTCTCCTGGTATGCTCCGCAGAGGACCTTCGGGTTCACGAATAACCATAGTTTAGAGGTCCCGGGCCCTAAGGAAGTCAGATTATCCTCCACCAGGGCCAGGGCCTTCTCAGTGATGGCTCCAACCTGGTGGAATGCTCTGTCCCATGAGACTAGGGCCCTTCAGGATTTAACCTCCTTATGTCGGGCCTGTAAGACAGAGCTATTCTGCCTGGCCTTTAATTTGAATTCAGCCTGGGGTTTTATTTCCCTTCTCTTCCCTAACCCTCCCCTTTTATGAAGATTATCTGCTCTGAGACCCCACAACTAATTCTCCCCTGGCCTCCTCACTGGCCCAAGTAGGACTAATTCAACCAGCTAGCCCTAGTGATTATCTCATGCTTATTAGATGGATTTCCCCTAAATTGATTTCTGAACTTTGAATTTTATTGTTATTCATGTTTTTATACTGTATTTTATGCTGCATTTACAATTAAGTGTTTTAAATTTGTTGTTAGCCATCCTGAGCCCGGTTTTTGAACTGGGAAGGGCAGGGTATAAATAAAAAATTATTATTATTTTATTATATATTATAATCTCTGTATTAGATAACATTTTCAGCATTGCTTGTTGTCATCTGCAGTGCGCCCTCTACTGCTCTGTTGTGCCATCACAGGCAGAGATTCCCTCCCTGTATATAATTAATTCTCCCTTACTCCGCCCCCTCCTTTCCAGATGTCCTTGGATTCAGCAACACCCGGACCAATGCCACATGTTGGCACGAACACAATGGCTTCCTCTGTACCTGCTCCCTGCATCCCAGCCCTCCAGGCCAGCTCCAGTGGCATTTGGGTGGGGAGGTCCTCAGTGGGAATGATACTAATGGGAACCTGCAGGTCTCTTCCTGGGTCCGAGGGAAGGAGGCCACCAGCTTCTTAAACTGGACAGGAACCCTAGATGGAGACCTTAAAATCATCTGTCTTGGGATAAGCCCTTTTGGAAACCACACTCTGCAGTTTCTGCTAAACTCCACTACAACAGGTAATAAAGTGGACACCAGACTTTAGAGGTTGCATCCAACTAAGTTCTACTCAGAGAAGTCCCATTGGATAGACCTAAGCTGATCAGGTCCATTAATTTTAATGGCTCCACTCTAGGTAGGGCTGGTCTTGGATACAACCCTAGGAATTTTAAGGACTGCTTAAGCACAGTGGGGATTCAAATGACTATTTGTTGGTGTTGTTGTTGTTGTTTGGTCGTTTAGTTATGTCCGACTCTTCGTGACCCCATGGACCAGAGCACGCCAGGCACTCCTGTCTTCCACTGCCTCCCACAGTTTGGTCAGACTCATGTTTGTAGCTTTGAGAACACTGTCCAACCATCTCATCCTCTGTCATCCCTTTCTCCTTGTGCCCTCCATCTTTCCCAACATCAGGGTATTTTCCAGGGAATCTTCTCTTCTCATGAGGTGGCAAAGTATTGGAGCCTCAGCTTCACAATTTGTCCTTCCAGTGAGCACTCAGGGCTGATTTCCTTAAGAATGGAGAGGTTTGATCTTCTTGCAGTCCATGGGACTCTCAAGTGTCTCCTCCAGCACCATAATTCAAAAGCCTCAATTCTTCGGCGATCAGCCTTCTTTATGGTCCAGCTCTCACTTCCATACATCACTACTGGGAAAACCATAGCTTTAACTATACGGACCTTTGTTGGCAAGGTGAAGTCTCTGCTTTTTAAGATGCTGTCTAGGTTTGTCATTGCTTTTCTCCCAAGAAGCAGGTGTCTTTTAATTTCGTGGCTGCTGTCACCATCTGCAGTGATCATGGAGCCCAAGAAAGTAAAATAGCTTGTCTAACTGATATAAGAACCTTTTAATGAACACATACAGGCCACATTTGATCATCTGATCGTTGTTCATTCCTTCCTTCATTATTTTATTTGTTTCCCTCTTTTCCGCAAAAGAAATCATGATCAAAGCAGCTTGTAACAACGGAAACAGGAATACAGCGGTATCTTGGTTCCCAAACTCAATCCGTTCTGGAAGTCCGTTTGACTTCCAAAATGTTAGCAAACCAAGGCGTGGCTTCTGAGTGGCCCCAGAAACAATGCTGACAGTCGAAACAGATGTTCGGCTTCCAAAAAAACCGGAACACTTACTTCCAGAATTGGGAGCCAAGCCCTTCAGGAGCCAAGGGACCACTGTACATCTCAAAATCAAGCATTGCAAGAGCAATTTCATAGTAAAACGGCAACATAATAGCAAATATAACAGCATATTTAAAAACCACAAAATTTCAATACTATAACTATAGCAAGATTGCATTAGCAATATTACATCTCCTGGCAATAGGAAAAGTAACAAGAGAGCGTGACAGTTTCACCAGTTTCACTTGCAACTGTACCTTCAGCAAAAGCACAATTTCAAGGAGTCTATTTACTCAGGCTACTAAAGGCAACCCAGTTTACCTCGGGATCAAGGCATTTTTCTGGGACCCACATTAGCTTCTGCATTTGAATTGCAAATTACGTGGCTCGTTTAAGCCAGCTGGAATATTGCTTTTTAAAAAGAAGTTAAACCAGGAAAGTGAATTGGAGATAAAACGAAGGATACTGCTTCTCTGCAGGGATTCATTTGTTTATTTTGTTCATGTGTTTATTCTGTTTTGACCAGTCTTCATAAAAATAAAAATCCCAAGGGTAGTTTCTACCTCATTCCTGTTAAATTAACAAAATACACAATAAAGCAGTAAAACGTATACTGACAATCAAGTAAATAGTCCTGCCATCAAGAATCCAAACCATTAAAGAAAACTAGGGCAGGAATCCTAATATAAAACCAAACAGCACTACTCTGGCTTAAAGAGCTGTGTTTTCATGCTATGCCATGCCTGAAACTCAACAAGGAGGGAGCCAACTGTACCCTTAGGGGAGACAGTTCCATGGATGGGGCAACACAACTGAAAAGGTCCTCTGCACATTACAGCCCCATGAGCTATGCTCATCAGTGGATCAGAGGGTCTCCTCTGTAGATCTTAAAGCACAGGCTTGCGGATAGTGAGAGAAGAGTTCCTGCAAGTATACGATACTTGCTAGAGTGCTTCTCTGGCTCTTTGGAACCAGAGCACAAACTTGGCTTTTCTATTTGTTGTGATGAGAATGAGAGTCTGAGCTTTGGGCTTCTGCACTGCCCAGGCTTCTTTGTATGGGAGAGAAGGAAGCTCAAACCTTTTGTTTGGGGCTTATAACAAAACCACAGTTTCCTGTTCGGAATATGAGGAACTGTAGTTTGTACAAACCACAATCACCAAGATCCAGATTCCCAGATGCTCTCATGATGGTGATGGTCTATACTGGAGTCCTGGGGTTCTCTAAACATTATTGTGCTTCTCTGATCTTCTTTTCAATCTTTCTTTATCCTCACAGGAGCCCATCATGAGGGCCTGACTAGAGCCTGGACAATTGAACGATACTCTTCTCTTCCTGTTAGCCCTTTTTCTGATGAAGTAAGTGGTTCTTCTTCTGGCTTTGATACTTGCCTTGTCAGTCAGTTTGACTGAAAAGCAAGACAGATATTGAGGAAATGACAACAGCAACAATCAATCAATCAATCAATCAATCAATGCATTACAATCAATAGGTCAGAAATAAAAAAGTGTACTGTACACAAGAATCTCAGAGCAAAACAGAATTCAAAATGCAACATAAGAGGCATCACATAAAACTACAGTAATTTCGAATTAGTCCCTGAACATGGTCGTTCATTGCTACTTGTAGAAAATTTAGCTACTGCCAGTGACTTCTCTGGGTCTTAATCTTCCATTAGGTATTTAACATAAAATGGAACTGACCTCCCTACGAGTTTGGTCAGCAAAGGGTCAATGGTATGCTGTTCATCTCCAGCAAAGAAATTACAGAACAGGAAGACATGTTGTATAGATTCTACTTCCCAAGTAGGTGACACAGGTGGCGGGTGGTGGTCTAAACCACTGAGCCTCTTGGGCTTGCAGATCCGAAGGTCGGTGGTTTGAATGCTCCCATTGCTCTGTCCCAGCTCCTGCCAACCTAGCAGTTCGAAAGCATGCCAGTGCAAGTAGAAAAATAGGTACCTCTGCGGTGGGAAGGTAAATGGCATTTCCTTGCGCTCTGGTTTCCATCACGGTGTTCTGTTGCACCAGAAGTGGCTTAGTTATGCTGGTCACATGACCCAGAAAGCTGTCTGGACAAATGCCGGCTCCCTCGGCCTGAAAGCAAGAAGAGCGCCGCAACCCCGTAGTCGCCTTTGACTGGACTTAACCATCCAGGGGTCCTTTCCCTTCCCCTTTTACCTTACTTCCCGGGTACTAAAAGGGAAAGAAGGGTGCCACCATCTGTACCTGTCCTGTAGCACAATAGCAGTGAGCATTTACCCACCCTCCTCCTCAGTCCTCAAAGCATTGTTTTCCAAGCTGGAAAAAAAGTATAAATCAGCTGCATATTAGCGAAATATTGGAGCACATCACCTATTGAGCTAAAATGACAAAGGCTGCAATTGTATGTTCAGTTAACTAGAGACTATGTTCTTAATTAGGGGATGTGGGTGGCGCTGTGGCTTGCCGATCAGAAGGTCGGCGGTTTGAACCCCCACCACAGGCTGAGCTCCTGTTGCTCTGTCCCAGCTCCTGCCCACCTAGCAGTTCGAAAGCACATCAAGTGCAAGTAGATAAATAGGTACAACTCTGGTGGGAAGGTAAACGGTGTTTCCGTGCACTGCTCTGGTTTCGCCAGAAGCAGCTTAGTCATGCTGGCCACATGTCCACAGCTGTCTGTGGACAAATACTGGCTCCCTCGGCCTATAGAACGAGATGAGTGCTGCAACCCCAGAGTTGTCTGAGACTGGACCTAATGGTCAGGGGTACCTTTACCTTTACCTATGTTCTTAATTTGTGCTTGGATTGTTGTCACAGTTCATTGACTATGTTGTGAGCCACTTTGGACACAAGTATGAGGGAATGGGGCATACAAATATAAACTGATGATCCACACCTGGCTATTCTTATATTCTTAATCTCTCCATTGTATTGTTCTTTAGGGTGTTGATATGCTGTTTCTTCTTTCTGACGCTTTTTGGGATCCGAACAAGAGGAAGGTTCCACTGATGCAAGAGGTTCCAAAGAAATGATAAGGAGGATGCATGTTTTTTCCCTGTGGGAAAGGCAATGCGATCACATGCATATGTGGCCATGCTTGAATTCTGCTGCCTCAAGGAATGACATCATGCCAATGCAGAGAGAAGCCCCAAGGCACACCTACAAGGTCACATGCACCCAAGATTAAACCGAATGAGCGGCAGCTTTGGGGGCTCATGCCTCTTAATTACAAATGTAGATTAGCTTTGCAGTTCCATACGCAGCCATGTACTGGAATAGTTTTTACCAGACTTCATGCACTCAGCTTGTAAATATAGCATTGGACTATTATGTGACCAGCCCACATGAGGTCATTCCAGTGCCGGATTTACGTATAAGCTAAACAAGCTATAGCTTAGGGCCCCACTCTCTTGGGAGGCCCCCAATTTTTTTTTTAAAGGAAAACAAAACTGGATGTACATTTCCAAAATATAAGATAAAAAACAAATAAATTAAAACCTACATACAGCAAGTGTTTTGTGTTGTGTAGGCTCCTATGAGACTCTAAGTTATTGAAGGTAATGGGGGCCTTTATATGTCCAGCTGTCCTTTGTCAACAGCAAATTGTCTCTGTTTTTTGTGTTGAATATATGCTATATTTATGGACCTAATAGGTATCTAAAGCTATTTGCACATGCAGAATGTAGGCACCCTATATATAGAAATGAGCAAACCAGTGATATCAGGGAGCAGGCTAGCAGGCGGGGCCCATTACTTACATCATAGGAGCCTACACAACACAAAACACTGTTGCTCTATGTAGGTTTTATTTTATTTGGGTTTTTTATCTTATATTTTGGAAACATGCATCCAGTTGTTGTTTCTCCTTTAAATTTTTTGGGAGGCCCCCAAGAGAGTGGGGCCCTAAGCTATAGCTTGTTTAGCTTACATGTAAATCCGGCACGGACTGTGGTACACTTCTGGTCATGTCACCTCAGGAAAGATCATGCAGAGTGGAAAAGAGGAACCAGAATGATGAAGCGGTTTTGAGAAAAGATGTGTAAGACGGGATCTGATGTAAGTTTACAAAATTGCACGTGACATGGAGAAAAGTGGGAAAGGAAAAGCTTTTCTCCCACTCACATAACACTTGAACTTGTGCACATGCCTGGATAGCTCAGTTGGTTAGAGCGTGGTGCTGATAACCCCAAGGCTGCCGGTTCGATCCCCATATGAGATGGCTACCTATTCCTGAATTGCAAGAGGGTGGACTAGGTCATCCTCAGTGTTATGTATTGAAATTCTCACCCTGGCTACCAGGAGTATTGTGTATGTAGTTTTCACTCAGGTCCATGTCAGTTACTTTAGGCTGGAAACCCTGGGTTGTTGTTGCTACAATGTTGACAGCCAGCTGCCTATAAAAGCAAGCCGGCTGAGCTGTTTGCTGTTCAGTTCTGTTCCAGCTTACAAATAAAGAGCTGCTTTGAAGATATCGCTGCGTCGTCTGATATGTTCACCCACAACTTAACACTCAGGGTCCCTTCCAACTCTGAAATTCTATGGTTGTGTATGCAATGAAGTTGAATGTTGAAAGATTCAGGAAAGATAGAAGAAATTATTTTCTGTTGTTAAAGTTGCAAAACATCGAAGCATCGGATGGAGCAATGGAGAAATTTCTGAAACAACAATGGGATATCAGCTCCACCCAAGGCACGATGGAGAACAGCAACAACTGGGAAAAGATAGACATAACATTTTGCAAAAACCCTTGACAGTAAAGATGCATTTTAAATAAAAGGACACATTCTATTCATGTAAAAACATGCTGATTCCCAGACTGTCCGCGGGCCGGATTGAGAAGGCGATTGGGGTGGATCCCAGGCCTTAGTTTGCCTACCCATGGTCTAAAGTATGTAAATCTTCCAAAAGTACTTAAAAAACAAAAAACAAAACTAGAGTCCTTTTCATTGGGAATAATTCAGATGGAAATTCCCAGGTGTCAAAAAAGGTTATTTATGTATGCCACTACTGCAGTCCATGTTTTGTTAGCCCCCAAATGGAAAATGAGCGAGGTCCCAACCAAAGAAGAATGGCAACTTAAGCTGATGGACTATGCACAGCTTGCAGACTCAACATACAGTCATACCTCATGTTACGTTTGCTTCATGTTACGTTTTTTCAGGTTGCGTCCCATGGTGACCCAAAAGCACCAGAAAGGGTTACTTATGGGTTTCACCATTTGTGCATGCGCAGAAGTGCTAAATCGTGCTTCGCGCATGCACACAAGCACCAAATCACACCACACACCTGCACAGATACAGCGCTTCAGGTTGCGGGCTTTTCATGTTGTGAACAGGCCTCCGGAACGGATCCTGTCGAGACCAGAGGTACCACTGTATATGATAAGAGAACAGGAAGAACATACATTTAAAGAAGATTGGGAAATGTTGGAAGATTGGAATATATGGGGGGAAATTGTGTACACTGGAAAACGTTGGCAGCATTGAGATAAATTCAACAGTGATCAAGGTGTCTCCCCTGCCAGGTAAGTGAAGTGGGCTTGACTTCCAAAGGGTTTTGATGCTGTTTTGCAAAAGCACCCTTTCTCCTGCCCACCCCACCCCCATTAAAACCCCTCCCTGACAAAACGTGGTGCCAAAACCTTGGGATCCCTGACTTCCGTTTCGCCTGTCCGGAAGCCGCTTTCTCTGACTTGAAACGGGGGCGCCTGCCTGGGCTGCCCACAGCAGTGCCCCGGGGGGTAGGGGTGGCAGCGAGCAGAGTGACCGCCCGCTTCAGCCTGGCTTTTTTCCTGAGCTGACCCTCGACTTGCCCTGTGGTCGGGCGGAGAGTCTGGACGCAGCGCAGCGGCTGCTGCTGCTTCCTGTATAGCTGTACAGAACCTCACACTTTGGGTCCTTTTAATGTGCAATTTTTCTCTCCGAGGAGATTAAAACTGTTAACGCAGTGTTGAACTTACCAACCAGTTTGAATGGTTAAGACGATGCCTGCCCCCCCCCAACGTGTGTGTGTGTGTTTTAAAACAAATACAAAAAAACTCAGGCTGCTGGTAGAGGTTGGCTGGGCTGGCGGGTGAGAGCGGGGCTGGGAGGAGCGCCTCTGGGGTTTTTCTCCGTTTCAGGGAGACCCCGAGTGGTTTTATAGCGGGTTTTTTTTTGTATTTCTTTATTCTTTTGTAATGTCCCATATTAATATTTAAAGAAAATATTTTAAAAAAAGAGATAAATTCAACAGTGTAAATAAGTTTTGATGGATGTAACAACGGAATACCAAATGGTTTAGTTTATATAAAATGTGCAATTTTTCTCTCCGAGGAGATTAAAACTGTTAACGCAGTGTTGAACTTACCAACCAGTTTGAATGGTTAAGACGATGCCTGCCCCCCCCCCACGTGTGTGTGTGTGTTTTATCACAAATACAAAAAAACTCAGGCTGCTGGTAGAGGTTGGCTGGGCTGGCGGGTGAGAGCGGGGCTGGGAGGAGCGCCTCTGGGGTTTTTCTCCGTTTCAGGGAGACCCCAAGTGGTTTTATAGCGGGGGTTTTTTTGTATTTCTTTATTCTTTTGTAATGTCCCATATTAATATTTAAAGAAAATATTTTAAAAAAAGAGATAAATTCAACAGTGTAAATAAGTTTTGATGGATGTAACAACGGAATACCAAATGGTTTAGTTTATATAAAATACGAAGAGATTTATGAAATGCAGAATGAACCATGGAAAGAGAAGAAGGGAAGTCACTGATATCTTAAGGATGTTTATATGAGTCTTCTAAATTGTAAAACAGAAAATTTAATAAAAATTATATATAAAAAATAAAGTATGTAAACCTTCCAGATGGGGTCTAAACCTCAGTGGAGGCCCTGACCAGTCAGGTGCTATGTACTTCCCAGTTGGAGTCGCTCTGTTGTTATTCCCTGGAACTCCCAATCACTGAATGGGGGTAGTATCTTATCTTGCTTGTGTTACGTTATTCCGCTTTAAGACTGTTTCACTGCTTTTCATTTTGTATTACACCTGCTACTTAATAAAAGCGCTGAACTTCTCTCCACTGGTGTCCTTATTGCTGCTGAATCCAAAAGAACTCTTGCCTTTGGCAAAACTTTCAGATGGGTGATTTGTCATAACATCTATATTCTTTTGTTTCTTTTTTTATTATTTCCTATTAAGATCCTGCCTAGTGCTTATTTAGTTTACTTTGCTTGAAAGGACATGGTCCTCGTGAGAACTGACCCGAAGAAATGATCTTGCTTGTTTCCCAAATTCTAAGTTTCTCTTTCTAGCATTTATGCAGAACCCATCCTTCTTATAGGAGAAGTTTATTAAATTTTGCTGACAACACCAGATTGCTGTCCTAATCTTTACATAAAGTATTAATGAAGTTTTAGTTGTGGCTTCCAGGACATGTCTGAGATAAGAACTAGCACCAGGGTCAAGAAAATTAATTGAGGGGTATATTTTATACTAGCTCTTCTGGTGCCATGATCTACAGAAATGAACCACACCAAAAATTCAGATTGACACACACTATTACACATGGACCAGCCCTATTTTAAAATTAGGGATTCCCTCCCTGATCACCGATTTTTTTTTGTTTTCACGGCTGCGTGAATTTCACTGGCCCAGAGATGGAAAGAAGATAAAGTTCCTACCATAGAAGAATGGCAGATGAAGCTAATGGATTATACTGAAATGGCTAAAATGACCGGAAGAATCAGAAATCAGGAAGACCAAAATTTTAAAAAGGAATGGGGAAAATTGATAACATATCTTAAAGACCATTGTAATCAGTTAAAATCGTTAGTAAGGTTGGAATATCACTTGTAGTCTAAGGTTGAATTCTGGACATAATGGAAGAGGTAAAGGTTTGGATTATCATAAAAGATGCGGGAGGAATTGATTAATAATAGGGCCCACAAAGGGGAGGGTGGAAGTCCATCTTGTTTTTAGGATTTATGCTTGATATATCTCTGTAAAATTTTAAGTTGAAAAACCAAATAAATATTTTGTTAAACAAAAAATTAAAAAAATGTTTTCATTTATTTATACAAGAATAAACAATCAACCCTATTAAACATGTGGTTGCAGAGGTAGATTTAGGGCAGCGCAAGCGGAGTAGCCACACTGGGTGCACAGACAATGAGGGTGCCTTCTCAAAGCTCAGTAAGCAAGTATCTACATGGTGCTTAGAGAATAACATGCACCTAAATATTAGTAAGACAAAGGAGATGGTGTTGGACTTACGGAGGAAGAGAGGGGAACCTGCTCCGTTGTATATCGGGGGGGGGGCTGTGTGGAGAGAGTCTCCTCCTTTAAATTCCCGGGAGTTTACCTTAGTGAGGACCTCACTTGGAAAATCAACATAACTCAGGTGGTCAGAAAGGTCCAACAGAGACTCCATTTCCTCAGGGTCTTGCGAAAGAATAATGTTAAACAACAACTGATGAACTCCTTTTACCGGTCCATAATAGAAAGTGTCCTTTCATATTGTATCACAGTGTGGTATGCTGGCCTGACAGCCATGGACAGAAAGTCTCTACAGAGGGTGGTGAATACAGCACATGATATCATGGGCTGTCCCTTGAGTCCGCTAGATGACATTGCAAGGGATCGTTGCCTTAGGAGAGCGAGAAAAATTCTCAGGGATGACTCACGCCCCGGCCACCACCTCTTTAATCTTCTACCCTCGGACAGGACATATAGAAGTATAATCAGCCGTACCAACAGGCTAAAAAATAGCTTCTATCTGTGGGCTGTTAGACTGTTGAACGGAAAATAACATAGGGAAATTGACTTGCGAGGTGGTGTGTTGTTCGATAAGAGATCAAGTGTTTGTGGGGGGAGGCTTGTACAATGGTTGTACAATGACAATAAAGGTATTATTATTATTATTAAGTGCTCGCTTTGGGAAGGAGGTAGGAGGGTTCTGGGACCCTGCCAGAGCCTTGTGCCTCCTTCCCAAAGCTCATCTTAAGCCAGCGCCATGAGGGCTGGCGGGAGGGCATCAAATGTTGGCCTCACAACAGGGTGACATATTACCAAGGCGGTTGGGTGGGGGGGAGGAAGAAAGAAATGCTGCATCTCCTCCCCACCCTCCTCCTGATTATACCGCAGAGAGCAGGATTGAACCTTGGTGAGAGGAGAGTTCAGTCCTACAGGTAACACACCAGCAAAGTAGACCCTTTATAAGTGGCCACCTTCTCCTCCTTCCTCCACCATGGCTCATTTGCCCTGCCTTTTGACAGCGCTGGATCACTCTGGGTGGGACAGCTTGTGGTGATCTGGGGCTAGGCTTTCTCCAGATCCAGTGTATCGTCCTAATTAAAAAAGATAAAGACCCCTGACAGTTAAGTCCAGTCATAGACCACTCTGGGGTTGCGGCGCTCATCTTGCTTTACAGGCCGAGGGAGCCGGCGTTTGTCCACAGACAGCTTTCTGGGTCACGTGGCCAGCATGACTAAGCCGCTTCTGGTGCAATGGAACACTGTGACGGAAGCCAGAGCGCATGGAAATGCTGTTTACCTTCCCACCTGAGCTGTACCTATTTATCTTCTTGCACTGATGTGCTTTCGAACTGCTAGGCTGGCAGGAGCTGGGACTGAGCAATGGGAGCTCACCCCGTCGCGGGGATTCAAAGCGCCGACCTTCTGATCGGCAAGCCCAAGAGGCTCAGTGGTTTTTAGACCACAGCACCACCCGTGTCCCTATCGTCCTAATTATTAATGAACTAATGCCAAGATTTCCTTGGACAATGTGATAATTGCTTTTCTCATCCTTCCCTCCGTTCTGAAAAAAAATATTGTTCTATATTACAGCATTTCTATATATTTTATATTCAGACGTTTGCTGAAAAGGTTTGCTCATAGCAAAACAGCTTGCACACTTTATCTTTTTATAGCTTTGTGTGGCCTATCATTCTGTACTTCTGTTATAAACATATTTAAAAACATGGAATAACCTCACTTGACTTCCTTATAGAGAAACATTTATGTATATATTTTGCAAACACAGCAATCCGATGTGACATAATATGATTCCCTTCATTATGCAATATTAAGAGTTCCAACAAGATGCTTACAGTGCAGTTGACTGCAGTATTTGGAGATCTAACAACCAGCTTATGTATGAAATTGCACATGAATCAGAGCACTGGTGGCTAAGCAACCTGTAAAAACCCAAAAATTACCTAATTGCCCCCTTTTCTCCACTTCCCACTGCGGCTTTCCGGGACAAAAACTGAACGGTGTGTCCTGTACTTAGTTTTCGCATTCAATTTTTACTGAATTGCACAACAATGTAAATCATCTTCCTCTTTCCTCTTTCTGCTTCTTCCTCCTGTTTCCTGCAATATTAAAGCGTGCTGCTTTAGCAGAATCCAGCCACAATTCCAGAGTACAGATAGAAGTCAGAGACACGGCAGAACTCATCATCCTCGCGTGTAACGTAAGTACATCAAGGTGGGGCAGGAGGGTTGCCATCTTCCGTTTTCCTGATGGGGAAACAGTCTTAGAATGGATGCACAACAGGAGAAATTTAGTAAGTGCAACTTCACTCATCACTGTATCCCCTTCAGGGGGGAAACTGCCTCTGTCCCAAATGCAGCTGTTAAAAAAAGCACAGGTTGGGGAAAGAGAGAGAAAGAGAGCAGTAACAGTTCTACACAGAGAGGAGAGTAAAGGCTGGACGACCCGAGGCAGGTAGCTCAACTGTGGAGAAGAACAGCTCTGTCTCTTCCTGACCCCGGTAGATTCCACTAGTTAAACCCATTCCCTTCTCTTTCCACATTGATCTGCAATTTTCTAAAGGTCCTCAGAGAAAACACATTCACGTACATATTTTTGAAAGCATTTCCTCACAGAATAAGGCATGGGCAGAATTATTTTGTCTTAAAATGATTACTTTTAAATTTTTTATGCGTTTTGGTGGGATTTGGTATTTTCTTGAGGTGGCAGCCGGATTGCAAAAATCAGAAGTAATGACGCCCCTTTCCAAGGCATCAACTCAGGAGGTGCAGAGCTGGCCAGTTGCTATTGGAACTGACAAATAGCAAACGACTCTATCGTCTGCACCCTAAATCACATCCATTTCTGCTTCTAGTCTCTCTTGAGTTAGACCCTTAGCACCAAGGCTATCCTAATGTGTGAGGGAATAGGACTCTGAATACCAGTTGCTGAGAATCACAAGAGTGCAGTTGTGATCAGGTCCTGCTCTGGTTATCTCCCGCTTGGGCTACTGCAATGCGCTCTACGTGGGGCTACCTTTGAAGGTGACCCAGAAACTACAATTAATCCAGAATGTGGCCGCTAGACTGGTGACTGGGAGTGACTGCCAAGACCTACATTGGCTCCCACAATTCGACGTGTTGGTGCTGACCTTGAAAGCCCTAAATGGCCTCAGCCCAGTATACCTGAAGGAGCATCTCCAGCCCCATTGTTCAGTCCAGACACAGAGCAGGGCCGTTTTACCCATAGGTGCTAGGGGTGCAGGGCATCTGGGCTCTGGGCTCTCAGGGGCGCCAGGCTGAGAGCATGGGGCCCGAGAGTTGTCTGGTCTTTATTACACATTTGTTCTGAATGTTCATGGAACTGTTATATGACAATGAACATTCACCCTGGGTTGCTTGTGCAGTAGTTACACGCCTTCCTGAAAAAAATCATTTGTTCATCCCATATTTTTCTGTATATTTTCCTAACCATGAAGAGTCTGTTGTTTTTAATTCAAAAAATAGATTCATTGCACTTAATGCTTTAATTCACTTTAACTGTGCAAACCTAAGTTTCACGTGCTAGAATTCCTCCTGTGAAAGTACTGAGAGGACCATAGATTCCAAACCCATATGGATGAATGATAAGGGAACAATCTTTTGGATCCTTAATATCTCTACAAAATAGCTCAGGGCTAGGACTTGTGACATCTTCGGGCTGGGAGAGATTTTCTCCAGGGAGAAAGAAGCTGTGTTTTATAAAATGGCCCCCTTTATACCACTGTTAAGCTAGAGGAGAAGCCCGCCCTGCGCTATGTACTTTGAAGGAAACTCTACTCCCCCCCGGAAGGATCTACCTCACCCTCCCAGCTTCACGTTCTTCCACTGTGTAATCTAAACTCAGTTTGTGAAACAGCATTTCGTCATCCTTGGTTATGTTTCCACCTCACACCAAGAAAGAGCTTAAGTTAACCTTCTTGAGGCTTGTGGACATCTTCAGCTTTCACAAGGCAGAAAAAGGACCTGCCTTTACCAAAACAGCTTAGCTGGGGGGTTAATTTGATGGGTAAAAAGAAAGAAAACCAAACCACAGGAAGATGTAGAAATGTGGAGCAATTCACTTGGAAGAAGGAAAAATGGGGAAAAAACTGAAATCGACCGATTCACTTGTCTCTAATGCAGAGCCACATTCTCCCCATCCCCTTCTGCTCTCTTCCCAATAATATATATCTATATCTATATGTTTATCTGTCATCTATCTATCTATCTATCTATCTATCTATCATCTATCTATCTATCTATCTATCTATCTATCTATCTATCTATCATCTATCTATCATCTATCATCTATCATCTATCATCTATCTATCTATCTTCTTTTAGCAGATGTTAGTAATTGGTTTCCCCCCTTTTTTCCTTTTCATTGCCATTTTTACAAGGGATCTGGGCATGGTATCAAGTTAAGTGCGACATCATTTGGGTGGCTGGAATCTCAGTTGGCATTATGTTTTGCAACACCCCCAGTGGCTCTGCTGGAAAAGAAAGTTAAGAAACAGTTCAAAAGCAGGCAGAGAGCCTCATGGGCATGACAGCAAGTCTTCTGACATGCCATTGTGCCCATGGGTGTCACATTAGGGACCGTTGCCCTAGATCAGGGATGTCCAACCAGTCAACTGCGATCGACAGGCCAATCCCCGGGTGATAGCGGGGTAGAAAGAGCATCCGGCCCTGCCCCCTCACTCTGTCCTTCAATCGTGCACGATTGCAAAAACGGAAGATGGAGACATCGCTGCAGGGTTTAGTACCTGGGGAGCATTTTATGGCTCACCCCCCCCTAAAAATAGCTCAACAACTTTGTGTCCCCCCCCCCATGGGTAGATCACTGCTATTTTTTCCCCCAGGAGTAGATTGCAGTCTCTTGGGAGTTGGACGTCCCTGCCCTATACCATCAACTTGAAGAAGGCAGCATCTCTTGAAGCCAAGAGTAGAACTAACCTTTTTAAAAACGAACTCTGGAGAATGGATCATAGGCACACAGGAAGTGGTCTTGTACAGAGTCAGACCATATCTAGCTCAGTATTGGCAATGGCTCTCTAGGGTTTTGGGTAGTAGTCGCCACCAACCCAGATGGCTATATAATCCTATGCCCTTCTAAAATGTGTGGGGGTTTGGGGGGGGGCTATTGGGTTGTTGTTTTTGTTATGTATTTTGTGGTTTTATATCTTGATTTTATTCTGTGAATAAATTTATAAATTCAATAAATAAACATAAAAATAAAAACCATCCTAGAAGGGTTGTGACTATAAGGAGGATGACTGAGGGGGCATGGCTGTGATGTGACATGGCTGCAAGTATCATGAAGGGACCCTATACTTTATTAATTTAGCACTACACTCCTGTGCAAACACCCTTTTGACTGAGCCAGGTTTCCACCAGCCACATAGTTGGTGTCTTAAAGGGCAAGTGGATGTATCTTGGATAAAATGGCCTGACAGGCGAAACTGGGAAGCGTGGTGAGTCTAATTAGTGCTAGGGACTAGAGGCTACCCTCTCCTTCTCTGGAGACATTTGATTGTCTTCTGTGGGAAATGGATGGATATTAACCTGAACCAGCCAAGGAAAAGGGACCTTGGAGCTCCTCTGGTCCAACCCCTTGCTCAGCTCCTTATGTTCTTCTCAGTCTCTCTCTCTCTTTTTCCAGGTAGGAAAAGAAAGAAAACACGACTGCCGAGTCTCTGTTGGAGGGAATGGAGTACACAACTCTACCGCCAGTTTTCACTGTTCCCGACAATGCTTCTAATGCCTCGATTGTCCCCTCTCTGGGGAAGAAGGCCAATGGAGGGACCTATGACTTGTACAAGTGGATCAATATTATAACTATGATCATCTACAGCCTCGCCTTCCTGCTGGGAGTCATCGGTAACGGGCTGGTCATTTTCATCACCGGCTTTCGTATGAAGAAGACGGTCAACACAATTTGGTTCCTCAACTTGGCCATTACTGACTTCACCTTCACCTTCCCTCAGCCCTTGACTGTTGTCTATATTGCCCTGGATGCTCATTGGCCATTTGGCCTGGTGATGTGCAAGCTGATCAGCACTCTTGCTTTCTTCAACCTCTTTGCCAGTGTTTACCTCCTCATGGTCATCAGTATCGACCGATGCATTTCTGTGTGGTGCCCTGTATGGTCTCGGAACCACCGGACCCCCCGGATGGCTTCCTTTGTGTCGCTGGGTGTTTGGATCCTGGCTCTGGTGCTGTGTTCACCCTACTTACATTTCAGGGACACTGCCCCATCCCCCAACGATCAGAATGTGATCAACTGCTTTAACAACTATGGCAAGACCAGGGAGGAAGTGAATCTCAACCGACAAGCTCTCATCATCAGCCGGTTCATCTTTGCCTTCGCCATTCCCTTCAGCGCCATCCTCGTTTGCTACGGGGCCATTGTCCTGAAGCTGAGGAGGGACAGTTTGGCTCAATCGAGCAAGCCCTTCAAAGTCATCACAGCTGTGATTGTGGCCTTTTTCATCTGTTGGTTCCCTTATCATGTCTTCTCTTTCCTCGAGACAAAACTTCTCGTGCAGCCTGAGCTGTTGGGGGTTTTGCGTATTGGCTACCCCTTTGCCTCCGGCTTGACGTTCATCAACAGCTGCCTCAACCCAATCCTGTATGTCTTCATGGGACATGATTTCAAGGAGAAGCTGAAACACTCTCTCTTCTCCGCCTTTGAGAACGCCTTTTCTGAGGACAGCAGCCAGAGCACTTCCAGAACCAAGGACAAGTCCTCGATTGAGTTAGATGCCCAGCCATGAATACTGTTTTTTCCAATTGTTTTTATTAAAGATTTTCTTGAATTAAAAAAATACATATAGTGTCTCTGTTTTTCCAACTAAAGCATCCATGAGAGATGTCTACCCAACCTCTGCTTAAAAACCTCCAGTGGAGGAGAGTCCACAACCTTTCAAGAGAGACCCTTCCACTGTTGAGCAGCTCTTACTGTCAGAAAGTTCTGATGTTTAGTCAGACTCTCCTTTCTAGTTACTTGAAGCCATTGGTAACTGTGCTGTGCGATAGGTGCTGAGATGTGTAAGGTGACCCCTATCTTCCTGCCAGAGCTACAATTCCCAGAGCTCCCTGTGAAGAGGAATTGATTGTTAAATCAATCTGGCAACTGTAGCTTTGTGAAGGGAAGAGGTGTCTCCTATGAACTCTTAGCACCCTTAAGAAGCTACCACCCCCAGGATTTGTGTAAAAGATATACCTGCTGCGTATCTCTCTGTCATTCTTCTGTTAAAGAAATGTTAGGTGTCAATGTAGCTTCCCCTTCCAAGCTAGGTGTGCTTACCTTATAACCAAGATAAGGAATCCTTCTGCCTCTGTTTCCCTCCTGTAGGGTGGCATCTTGCAGGATTTTGCTAGAATATATGTCTCGCCAGAGTGGTGCATGCTCCGGTTACCTTTGAAGGTGACCCAGAAACTGCAACTAATCCAGAATGCGGCAGCTAGACTGGTGACTGGGAGTGGCCACCGAGACCATATAACACCGGTCCTGAAAGACCTACATTGGCTCCCAGTACGTTTCTGAGCACAATTCACAGTGTTGGTGCTGATCTTTAAAGCCCTAAATGGTCTCAGCCCAGTATACCTGAAGGAATGTCTCCACCCCCATCATTCAGCCCAGACACTGAGGTCCAGCTCTGAGGGCCTTCTGGTGGTTCTCTCACTGCAAGAAGTGAGGTTACAGGGAACCAGGCAGAGGGCCTTCTCAGGTAGTGGCACCGCACCCACCCTGTGGAACCCCCTCCCATCAGATGTCAAGGAAATGAACAACTATCTGACTTTTAGAAGACATCTGAAGGCAACCCTATTTAGGGAAGATTTAATGTTTTATCATGTTTTTAATATTCTGTTGGGAGCTGCCCAGAGTGGCTGGGGAAACCCAGTCAGATGGGCAGGGTATAAATAATAAATTATTTTTATTTTTATATAATCTGAAAGGCATTTATATAAGCATAACTTTACAGGAAACAATGTGTGTAAGCTCATAAGAATTCTTAGAAGTATAAGTAAATACACTAAGGATTCTTAGAGCAAAAATAGATAAGTAGGATTGATGGAGAATCAGTTATCAAGAAGAATGACTGCAACATACTAGTCATTCAGTTTCAGCTAAAGTGCTTGGTGCCTTTGCAATCTTTGAATGTGTCAGAGAGTTCGAAAAGCCCCAACAATTTTGAGATGAGTGAAGTTGCCTAGTGAGTAAGGGTGGACCACACAGATTGGGCACCAGAGGCAGCTAAAGTGTGTTTGGACGCCTGATCTCCTAGATCAGCGTTCTTCAATTTGGGTCCCCAGATATTGTTGATGTCTGTCCAGGCCAAGGACAGCCTAGGCCAAGGATGGTGGGAGTTGTAGTCTAACAATATGTAGGGACCTGCTTGAAGTGATTCTCTTCCCAACTATGGAAGATGTGGTCTTCAGATGGGCAATGGTCGTAGTTGAAGCATCGCTGCTCTAGGCTAGGGTGGGGACCTGCGTCCCTTCAGGTACTGCTCAACTACAATGTCCCTCTTCCCTGACAGGTGGCTATGCTGACTTGTGTCAATGGGAGTTGGTGACTTTGGTAATATTTGCACAGCTGCAGGTGCTCCACCTCTGATCTAGCAGGACTACTTGATAGAGTGCTGGATAGGCAGAAGAAGGACCAAAGCTTGGTGCTAGAGCATCTGCATTGCAAGTGGGTACAGTGGTGCCTCGCAAGACGAAATTAATTCGTTCAGCGAGTTTTTTCGTCTTGCGAATTTTTCGTCTTGCGAAGCACGGTTTCCCATAGGAATGCATTGAAACGGTTTCCCATAGGAAAAAGGAAACAAGCTTGCAAGACGTTTTCGTCTTGCGAAGCAAGCCCATAGGGAAATTCGTCTTGCGAAGCAACTCAAAAACGAAAAACTCTTTCGTCTTGCGAGTTTTTCGTCTTGTGAGGCATTCGTCTTGCGAGGTACCACTGTAGTCCCATTCTGTGTCCCTGATTATCACCAGATGACAGAAAGTGGAAAGCAAGGGAGATGAGTGCATCTACAACAAGAGGGAATTCCACAATTGGGGGTGGGGAATGACCAACAAGGCCCTGACACAGCTGTTAAGGGGGACTCTATCTATCTATCATCTATCTATCATCTATCTATCTATATCTATCATCTATCTATCATCTATCTATCATCTATCTATCTATCTATATCTATCATCTATCTATCTATCTATCTATCTATCTATCTATCTATCATCTATCTATCTATCATCTATCTATCTATCATCTATCTATCTATCTACCTATCTATATCATCTATCTACCTATCTATATCATCTATCTATCTATCTATCTATCTATCTATCTATCTATCTATCCTCCCAAGAAAATTTTGAGAGATGGGCTAGCAATACCGGAAGAGGCATTTCTACATGAGCCATTGTGAACCAGGGTTGCCAGTGTTTCCTCCCAGGGTGATGAAGTTTCAGCATGCTGACCACAGATGCATACTCTCTAACATTTCGCCCATGAAAATAGGAATTGCTATTTAACAGCAGCAGCAGCAGCAGCAATAATAATAATAATATTTATACCACACCCATTGGACTGGGTTGCCCCAGGCACTCAAGTCTGCTTCCAACGTATATAAAATCATAATAAAACATGAAACATTAAAAACCTTCCCTATACAGGGAAACCGGAACGGCTTCTGTAAATCTGGGTTTGTCCCTGGAAAATAGGGACAGGGTCTGCAGATACCAAACCCTAACATTGGCCCTGCTTCAGTATCCTTAGATTAAATGTGCTTCTGTCTCCTTCTCCTCCTTCTCTTGTGCTTTTACTAGTTGCACGTACAGCCAGAAATTCAGCAGGTGAGGCTTTTACCTATTACTGTCCACCACTTCTGTCCAAATGTCAAAGTCAGGATTCCATTGACCAAGAGACAGCATTAATCCATTTATTGTCACAAATATACAGATCATCTGTAAGAGGGAGCTGGTGTCACGGCGGTATTGCTGCATAGGACCATCTTGTCACTGCTTAACTGCAGTCACTTTGCACTGCCCTCTAGTGAGTCGTAGTGGCACTGTGGGCCTATATTTATATCCCAGAGATGGTGCCATCACTCACCTGGGCTTTTTGTTCCATTCCAGATGGCCCTGGGCTCAGTAGCAGTCAAATGCACTGCACTGGCTTTCACTGCATCTGCCCCCCGCGTTCTAGTCCTCCACCCCAGCTTCAGTGGCAAGTGGATGGAGAGACCTGCTATGGGAACAAGCCACCCTGAAGGTGGCTTGTTGAGTCCAGGCAAACGATGGCATCAATTTCCTGTGCCAGAAACAGAGCTTGGATGGGGATCACAATACCACCTGCTTTGGGACGGATCCTCTTGGGGCCTACAGAGTAAAAGATCTTGCACAGCAAACCTACTTTTCCAAAAGATTGGGCTTCTAACATTAAAGCAGGCATGGCCAAACTTGGTCCTCCAGCTGTTCAATAGTCGAACAGATTATCTTGGAGGGCGGTCGACTTTGAAGGTTTTTATACAGAGGTTGGATGGCTATCAGTCAGCAGGCTCCAAAGGCACCTCAGCTGTTTTGGGACTACAACCCCCATCATCCCTAGCTAACAGGACCAGTGGTCAGGGATGATGGGTATTGTAGTCCCAAAACAGCTGGAGGGCCACGTTTGGCCATGCTTGCATTAAGGAAAAGGAGAGGGATATGCACTGGATAGGTTGGATGACAATGGTTTTGATGCAATGTCATCTATGGTTTCAGGATAGCTATAGAGTCCCTCACAGGCGAGCACAGAGATGCTGGCATACAGTTTAAAGTTCCTACTCAACCAAATTGCAATAGGTAAGCCCCCCAGAGCTGAACCTGAATCATTGCCTGCAGCATTTGGAAACCTCTAAGAGGCAAATCACTTACCCTGCTCCAGGTTGCTGCTCCTGACTGAAGGGAACCCAGGAATCGTTGCATTATTAACAATAAAAACAACAACAAAAACCATTTTATTGTTTATACCCTGCCCATCTAGCTGGGTTGCCCCAGCCACCCTGAGTGGCTTCCAGCACATATAAAAACATAAAAAAGCATCAAACATTATTTATTTATTTATTTATTTATTCATTTATTCATTTATTTATTTGATTTATATACTGCCCTTCATCATAAGATGTCAGGGAGCCTCACAGAATAAAATGCAGGAGAAAAACAAATAAGTAAATCAAAAACAGCAAAACAATAACAATAACATCAAAAGCTTCAGTATACAGGGCTGCCTTCAGATGTCTTCTAAAGGTTGTATAGTTATTTATCTCCTAGGTTTGGGGGTCAGTTCATTTACTATCTTGCCTGACAAAGAGTTCTGAAGAACTCAAAACCTTGCACACTATTTTATTCATTTATTATTTTTTACATTTCTGTGGGTCTAATAAAGGTCTCACAATCCCTATTGTGGGATTGGGGATTTTGTTAATGGGACAACATGGCTAACTTTGTTTTTCCCGTATACATAGATATCTCTTCCTGGATCAATAACCGGGGCTAAAATCAAAGTAGAAGCAATTAATTCAGAATATGGGGGAAATGCAGAAGAGCAGATTTGGAGTGAATGTGCTGAACACAACAATACAGTGGTACCTCGGGTTAAGAACTTAATTCGTTCTGGAGGTCTGTTCTTAACCTGAAACTGTTCTTAACCTGAGGTACCACTTTAACAAATGGGGCCTCCCGCTGCTGCCGCGCAGTGGTTGTGCAATTTCTGTTCTATCCTGAAGCAAAGTTCTTAACCCGAGGTACTATTTCTGGGTTAGCAGAGTCTGTAACCTGAAGCGTCTGTAACCTGAAGCGTCTGTAACCCGAGGTGCCACTGTATTTATTTACTGGAGCTCCAATGCAGCTGATGATTTGATATTGGAGCTTCCTGTGTTCTGGGCACTGTCCTCAGCAAAGGCATTTTCAAATGCAGAGAGGAGTGAGTGCCTCAGCTTCTGCCTGAAATCATAACCCATGAAAGCATACAAGATGGGGTTGAGGCAGCTGTTGATGAAAGCCAAGCAGTATGCCAAACGTTCACAAATAATAAAAAGCTCTGACTGCGATTCCTGGTTTTCTGGTTCTTTCTTGTAGAAAGAGAGGATATGAGAGGGTAGCCAGCAGACAAAAAAGGCCACAGTCACTGCTGTGATGACCTTGATGGGCTTGTTTGATTGGCTCAACTGGTTCCTCCTCAGTTTCAGAACAACTGCCCCATAGCAAACGACAATGACACTGAAGGGGATGACGAAGGCAAAGGTGAATCGACTGATGGTCATTGCTTTGTGGGTGAACTTATTTTGTTCCTGAGTGTTGCCATAATCAGGGACACACCCCTCCTTGCCATTTGGGTATAGAACCTCTCCACTGAAATAGATGTGTGGTGAACATAGCACCAAAGCCAAGATCCAAACTCCGAAGGCTACAATGGAAGCTCGCTGAGGGGTGCGGTGATTATGAGCCCACACCGGCCACAGTGTAGAAATGCATCGATCAAGGCTGATGACCATGAGGAGATAAATGCTGCCATAAAGGTTGAGGTAGCTAAGGGTGCTTCCGATCTTGCACATCACGTTGCCAAATGGCCACCTTTCCAGGACTAAATCGGTAATTATCAGGAGCAGGGAGAAGGTGAATGTGAAATCAGCAATGGCCAAGTTGAGGAACCAGACAGTGTTGACTGTCCTCTTCATACGGAAGCCGGTGATGAAAATGACCAGCCCATTCCCAGTGACCCCCAACAGGACGATAAGACTGTAGGCTACTATAGCGAAAATATCCATCCTCCTCTTAAGGTCATTATTTGAATTGCTATGATCTGTTGGTTCAGTTACGCTCATCACTCCTTTCTGTGTCAGATTCTGCTTTACTCCTCTCTCTTTTTTTCTTGCTGAAACAAAATGATAAGAAAATGAGAACTAATGTGCTGGTTCATCTTTCTCATCTTCTGTTTATCTCAGTAGCCCAGCCAGATACATGTGGCAGCTCACAAGCAGGGCAGACAAGGAACTCGCCACGTTACTTGTCCCCAAAAATATGGAACGGAGAAATATCCTGCCTCTAAATATGAGGTCCTCATTTAGCTATTGCTAAAGATGAGCAAATCTCTCCATCTGGATTTTTTCAGTTTCTCATTTTTTTTCTAATCTTAAATTCAATTCCCCACATTTCCAGATCAATTTGCAATTTTTTTTAAAAAAACCCTCATAAAAATGCATCAATATTTCTGTACAAATGTATCATAATATACACCTTTTTGCAAAGCAATTTCCTTTTGTATGCTTTTCCCTACATGTTTTAATGTATACTTTGTCTCAGTATATGCATTTTTAAAAAGTATTTGGCTGAAGGAAATGGCGAAAGATAGTTGTGTTCCAGTTCTCTTGTTTCAGAATGTTCAAATTATGTAGGCTCACCTTTAAATGAGAAATGAATAGAATTTCTCCCCATTCTTAGCTGTTGTGCTTAATAACAACTCTCAGCCCCCTTAGCAAAGTGCAATTCCCAGGACTCCTTGGGGGAAGCAGATTCAGCCACAAAGGCCTGTGCCTTTAACACATGCCTTCCAGAGAGAAATCTAGCCCATGTAGCTTTCCCAATTTAGAGCTGCAATGTTTGTGAAAGATACACCTGATAGATATATCCTGGTCATTTACATGCTAAAGAAGTGAATCCAGTGTTAGGGAAAACTGGACACCCTCCTCTCAAGCTATGTGTGCTTACCTTCTAAGCCAGACGAGTTGTCCTTCAGTCTCTTTGATTTCTTCCTGCAGACTGTTGGAGGAGTTTTCTGGAAGATATTTATATAGGCAGAAAAGGGTTTACTTTCAGAGAGTAACGCCTGCAAGACGTTTCAGCGTGTCTGCAAGAAGGAAATTGGATTAGCAGAGAATCCGCTATCAGGAAAAAAGAGTATTGCGTAAGAGTCATTTAGTTCCAACTAAAGTACTCTGTGCCCTTCTGGTCTTTCTCCACATCAGTTCGGTATGTTGAAGTTCAAATCAGAATGTTAAAAAACGAAACCCCTCTGCAACTGAACAATTTTTGAGACAAAAGAAGTCACCTAGTGAGTAGGAGTGGGCTACTCAGGCTGGGCAGCAGGGGTGGCTAGGGCGTGAAATCAATCTTTGAACGAGCCAAACCGTTCACAAAAAACCCAACAATTTTTAGACAAGTGGATTGAAGTTGCCTTGTGATTAGGGGTGGATCACACAAGTTGGGCCCCAGAGGCAGCCGAGATGTGTTTGAAGACCAGGTCTCCTAGATCAGCGTTCTTCAACTTTGGGTCCCCAGACATTGAACTGTCTTTCCCAGGGTCCCATACACATAGCCAATGATCAGGGATGGTGGGAGTTGTAGACTAACAATACCAGGGGGCCCAAGATTGAAGTTACTCCCTTCACAACTATGGAAAGTGCAGTCCTGAGATGGACAATGTTGGGAGGTGAAACAGCACTGAACTCAATCAGGGCAGGGGTTTGCTGGACTACAGCTTCCATCATCTGGTACAGAACTCTTCATCAGGCTATATATGAGAGCCAGTGTGGTGTAGTGGTTAAGAGTGGTAGTCTCATAATCTGGGGAACCAGGTTCGCGTCTCCGCTCCTCCACATGCAGCTGCTGGGTGACCTTGAGCTAGTCACACTTCTTTGAAGTCTCTCAGCCCCACTCACCTCACAGAGTGTTTGTTGTTGGGGCGGAAGGGAAAGGAGAATGTTAGCCGCTTTGAGACTCCTTAAAGGGAGTGAAAGGCGGGATATCAAATCCAAACTCTTCTATACAGAGGTGGCAAGAGCAGGGGAAGAAGATGACCAATGTTGAAGCCATAGAAGTGGAATCATTGGCTCTTCAGATGCCATTCAAACCTACCTAAATTTAGCTCCTGCCATCTTGGAAAATGGCCAGGGGGGATGAAGAGAGCTGAAGTCCAGCAGCTTTGGGAGGTTCAGAAACTCACCATCCCTGCCACAGTCTCAATTTAATTGTGATCAAATTAAGTTCTCCTAGGCACAGTGCATATTTCAGTTTGCTCCCAGTGTTGGTTGTAGGGCTGTTGGGATAAAGAAGCTTACAATAGTTGACCCTCCTAGATGGGCTTTTACTCTGGTACAGTACAAAGTAGTATTCTCCACTAGCTTATGCTAGCCATCAATCAATGTTGTTGTGTAATCCCAAATCACAGCATCATCACAGGAAGGAAAAATATTCCTATGTTTCTGGTCTCTCCACAGCATCCACCATGTTCCCCAACCCATCAAGTCATCATTCCAGAATTCAGGTTTGGTTTGGTTTGACTTTACTTTGATTACAATGAGACAACTGATGTTCCCACACTCGGGCAGAACTACCTGTGGCTCTGGCAGACCCATTTCCCCCCAATATAGGTGCTTGTTGGCAAATCTTTAAAGGATCTGGGAGGGACCTTTCTAGCAGAAAACGAATGGGAGAGCAATCCTGAACCTTTCTTCCTTTTCTGACCACCATTTCACCTTCAATCTGGAAGAACTTCCTTAAACATTAGGAAGAACTTTCTGATGGTAAGAGTTGTTCGACAGTGGAATGGTCTCCCTCAGGTTGTAGACTCTCCTCCCTTGGAGGCTTTCAAGCAGAGGTTGGGTGGGCATCTGCTTTGTATGATTTTGT